CCCCAAAACCCCAAAACCCCAAAACCCCACGATATAGAGTTATTGTCTAACAGAGTTGTATTTGAAATTAATATAAGCATATTACCGCAATTAAAATGATAAAAGAGGGAAGCTAAGACAGCGCAAATACCATCGCTCAGTTGAGAAAGGAAATTGCCAAGTCACAGACGAATAAAAAAAGTCAGAAAAAATCTCAAATGGTGTAAGAGACCAGTGAAGATATTGCAAATGATTAAAATTCAGAGGAAGCTGAGGAGATGCAAGTGGTTGATCTGTCAATTTAGAGTCAAAAGGCAAAGTAAGCTCAGCAATAGTCAGAGACCAAGAAAATCTAGGATTGCTAGAAACCTCAGCCAGAAAATGTAGTTCAAAAAAAGAGCAATGATTCAGTTAAGGTGGCTTTTGAGGGATTTGATAATCAAGAAAAGGTGAGACTCTCAAATTTATTGAAGTAAACATTTGACATGGAAACAATAAACATGCCTTCCAAAATAAACCAAAGCAGATATTAGCTTGTAATAGTCTCTAAAAATGGCTAAAGTAAAGATGTAAAAAGTGATTAGGTCAAGGGAGTAGTTAATGCATAATGGGTTGAGGATTCTGTAAGCAAAAAGCAATAACTGCAAGACTATGACTCTTATGGCTTTACACTAAGTGAAATGGTTTTTTTCATTTTCGATGCGCTTGATGCAGATTCACATCCTTAATAGCATTCAATGAATTTAAGAAATATTCTTCTCAAGTAAAATGCAAAAGTTTTGAGTAAATATTGTGACCTCTATGACAAATCTGGCAAGTATGCTCCAGTAGACATCGTAGATGACTCATCTAATCTAATCATTTTAATAAAACAACAAAGAAGAGACTTTAAAGATGCAGTTTAAGATATTGAACTTATGATAAAGCACTTTAAGATTACATTCAAATAATTTGAGCAAATGCAGATAATCTCAGACTAGTGGGCCATTAAAAGCATAATGAAGGACGAGAAAATTCCTACAATTGACTATAATCTAGGTATGCTATTTAAGATCATGATAAGTGGAGATAGATCGGTGTTTTATGTTCCACCTATGACAAAGCAAGACCAAAATAAGGCAAGAAAGAAGTCATTACAATAGAATGTATACTCGGTAATGGAGCAATGGACTAAATACAGTGCCAATGAGTTAAATATTCTAGAGGATTGTGTGATTACTTTCTATGGCAATGAGGACTAGCACGGAAATAAACTGGCAAATCTTTTAGGAGCAAATATCACTGATAGCATCATACCAACATACACTACTCACATTGTAACAGAAAATTTGACACCTTAACTCAAACAGTCTCTGACTCTTTTATAAAATAAGTCATCTGATTTGGCTTTAAGAACTTCAAGGGCATTCGGACTGTCTGACAACATGAATCAATAGTAAGTAAAAGTCATTGGGCAGTCTCATACTTTCAAACTTGTCACTGTTTAATGGTTAGAGGAGTGCCTACTCCAAGAGAAATGGGTGGCAGAGGATAAGTTCACACCTGAATATGTAAAGGACAACAAGACTGTTTCAGAGGAAGAGATGCTAAGATTCAGGAAACAACAGTACAAAGCCAAGAGCAAGTTGTTCAATAACATAACCTTCTCAATTTAGGAAGATAGTTTTGATGCTTTGGGAGACTAAAAAGATATCGTTATTGAAAATATGATAAGAACTATAATGGAGTAAGGTGGAAAGATAATTCCATAATCTAAATCAGTTAGAAGTCATTACCTTATTTGCGAGGATGGATCTGTTAAGGACATCTGGAATAATATCTAAAGTTCAGTCCTAGATAAACTCGATAGAAAGATCATTCACTTCAGATGGGTAAAGCATTGCATCAAGGCAAATATAATTGAAGATGATTGTGAGTTCTTGTATTTATACCCTCTACCAAAGAGAGTACCCATTGTAGATTTCAATCAGGCTATTTTGCTTTTCACCAGATGTCAGGGCAGACAGAAAGAGGAGCAAATATTCAGAAAAGTATGCAAACTATATGGGTTCAACTATTACTCGTAACATTTTAAAAGTTAACAATTATATAGTAAAGAGTAAAAGCAGGTCTAAGGAGAGTCATACAGGCCAACTCATATTGTAGTATTTGGTGATGAGGAATTGAAACAGTCAACAACCATAAGTTATTACTACAAGATTGATAAGAATAATCTGCCTTTGATTGTAAACACCAACTGGTTGATTGATTGCATGTTTAATGGGCAGTTTATTGATGTTACAAAGGATTAATCAGTTAAGGAGAAGTATATAATAGATTTAGCGCATTTCAAGCCTAGTTACTGAATTAATAAAAAGAACAATATTTATGAGATCAATTGACATTAATTTGCATAGATATCTTTATTGATTGTATTTTCTACATAAACTTGATTTAATAAATTCTAAAATTAGAATGACTTTAACTGAAGGGGTTTTGGGGTTTTGGGGTTTTGGGG